CTACGAGGTCGAGGCGCAGAGAAGGAGCTCGCGTCTTCTTCGACACGGTCATGTCTGCGCGTCACGGGGTCGACCATGGCGGCATGGTGGCCGGCTTCAAGCTCGCGCAGAAGAACGGGTCGCCAAGCGCAAGGTCATTGGCATTGATGCCTCGGCCAAGGTGCAGCAAACCTTTGATCAGGTGCTGCGCATCGCCAAGGCAACGGGCGTCAAGATTGGTCTCGAGGAGGGCGACATTACAGAGGCCGACATTATCCTGGATGACAGGTATCACGCTGGCGTGTACGGCATCCCCGACCAGACGACCATTGATGCCATGAAGTTTGGCGCCAGCACTGAGGGCTTCATTACGGATCCCGTGTACGAGGGCAAGAGCTTGGCCGGTATGATGGACATTATTCGCAAGGGTGAGCTTGCCGAGGGCAGCAACGTTTTGTATGCCCATCTGGGAGGTCAGCTGGCCCTCAACGCGTACTCGAGTCTTTGAGGAGGCGAGGGTCAATGAGATGAAATGAAGCGATGATTTATGCGTTGCCTGTTTCCTGTGAACTGATGGACCAAATGATGCTATGCCAGTTCGTATGATATCTTGGAGATGCCCTTTTGGCGCTTGATGTTGCGAATCCTGACATGGCCCACCTCGCCCGTCGTCGCCATGTGCGTGCCTCCACAGGCGTAGGCTCCTGCGCCCTCAATGTCGACGGCGCGGGCAAGCTCTCCCTCAGGCAAGACGAGAGTCTCCGGCACCGACCAGCATGCCCGTACGAGCTCCTCCTGCGTCCAGTAACACACTTTGATCGGCAGATTTTCGTCGATCAAGGCGTTAGCAGCTGCCTCAATGTCGGCTTTGTGCTTGCCGTCGATGAAGCCTTTGAATTCGACAAACGCCGAGTCGGGGTAGTGCTGCGCCTTGAGCTCAGTGATGTCAGGGATGGCATCTGCGAGCTTGCGAACGGCCGAGCTGATGATGTGACCGGCGTCGTGAATCTTGGAATGCAGACGACGCTTGTCCATGTCAATTTTCTGAGTGACGAGGTCGCTTTTCTCAAAGGGGCTGTCCTCGAAAGAGCCCAGGTGGAGGATGGTTCCCTCAGTGGTTTTCCGCACGCCTGTGACGTGGAATTTGGCCGCGTCTCCCGTGATCATCGAGGTCATGGTGCCAGTGTCCGCTGGCTGGCCGCCTCCTTGCGCGTAAAAGAACGTCTGATCTGTCGCGACGAGAAAGTCGTTCTCACTGGCCGTCTTGAACAGAGTTTTGTGCGCCTCGCTGGCTGCCGTGAAGGGGGTGCAGGACACGACGAAGGCTGTGACGACGCCGCCATCGTTGTCGAGGTAGAGCGCTTTTGTCTTGACGAACTGCGACGATCAGCCTACATATCTCGCAGACTGTATTTGTGTAGAAAAGTATACCTGTGACATTTTTATGTGGAAAAAGGTTGGGATTTGTCGTTGCACCGCTGACTCTGAGTATGTAGTGATAGATCCAGGCAGCAGCAGGTGGCGGTTCGACCAGCACAGCACGTTGCTGAAATGCAGGTGAACCCTAACCTCACGGGTATCGGCCCCCTCCAACTCAGACTAAATGCTTGGCTCCTCAACTTCTGTTAAATCACTTCCGAGTGACTTCTTGATATCTTTTTTCAGTCATAGATTATATGTCTTTTGAGCTTCCGTCAATCTAGAATTTTAGAATTCGGCAATTGTATTACTCTGTCGAGTGCCTCCCCGACAAAACCATTGACGTAGCTTCGTCAGAAAAAGTTGTGACAGAGCGACTTGAAGATGATTGCAGGGAAATTGGATAAAAAAGCACCATGGATAAAGTCATCTTGACTTGCCAATTGTTACATCAATATTTCTACAGCGTAATTCTGAGAAGAGGGATGGTCATTCAGGAAGGCCTTTCGGAAATATCGATCGATGTGCATTGGAGCCTGCGATCTTCAATCGTGCATGGTTGAAGGTGCCCGACTTTGAACTATCGTTCTCAGGAAGGTTTCTGGAGAGCATAATATGCATACTGAGCACCAGTTGGCTTATTTACCTGCCCCCCAGCAGGTTAATATGGCAGCCCCTAAACTTTCTCGAGACTATTATATCCAGCGCTGCCGCCCGACCAAATAAGTTAAATATAGGGGGTATATTTAACTATTTAAACTGCCGAAACTAGTAGATTTAACTATTTAGTCGTATTTATAAGTATTTAATTCGATTTAACGTCGAAATAAAGCTCTCGCGATAGTTTAGCCTTATATATTAGCTAGGTTCCGTAGTATTAAGCCCTTTAGCTACTCTATAAGCCGAAATACTACTCGCTTAGTATAATAGTACCCCGACGAAGCTAGTTATTAATATACTATAGCTTCTCGAGGGTCTCTAGGGCTATCCCTATCCTCTATAAAGTTAGGGTTAGCTTCGAGAAGCTAAATACCCTTTTATAGTCTACCGATATTACTAGTATTACGAAGATATCGAGGGCGAATTTATTAATTATAAGGTAAGTCTCTTATTAATTAATCTACTATATAATAGGATCCTTAATATCTAGAGCCTCTAAGAGATTAAAGCGAAGATAGACGTTAAATTCTAAATTAACTATTAATATTCTTTAATACTTACTACGTATTTAATCGTCGAAGCTTATAATTAGTACTATAGCTTATAGAGAATATAAAATTTCGAAGTCTCTTAGCTCTTAGCTAAGAGACGGGGTATTAGATAGAGGGGATTAATAATATTAATAATCTTATTATTAATATATACCCTCTTATATTTTATAAACTTATATTAACTATTTAAGGTTTACTTATTATACTTTAAGCTATTAAATTCTAAGCTTAAAATATAGAATTATAATAGCTATATATAGTAAAGATTCACTAAACTTTATATAATACTTATTAAGCTTCTATTAAGTATTAGTAATTAAGAAGTAGAAGTATTAATATAAATCTTCTAATAGAGCTTCGAGGTATTAAGGAACTTTTATATATTTAGGATAGATATAATCGGGGAGGGCTTAACTAAATAAAGGAGATTTAAAGTATTAATTCCGAAATTAACGATTATATTTTAATAAGATTTATTATAAATAGTTTATTTATTATTAACTATTCTAATTTAAGTTATTAAAGAAAGCCTTCTAATCCTCTATCCTCTTAAAGATAAATTCTATTTTAATAAAAATCTCTTATAAAACTCTATAGCTCTTATTACGGGCATAGTGGACAGGTAATAAGGTGGAGCCCGTCACGTGACTGCAAGGTTAGTGATCACGGAAGCGTAATCCCCTCGGTGATTACGGAACTGTGATCACTATTAAGCGAATACCGTATAGTAATCGCGGAATAGTAATTACTAGCTTATATAACTTCTAATTATATAACTAGGAATTATAATATATAGAGAACCTCTAGAGCTCCTCTTACTAAAGGAGGGTATTTTAATATAATACTATAAACTAAGTATTTAAGATCTAAGATTATAGGTCCCCGTAATTACGACCTTAATAAATAGTAACTACCTTAGTTTAAACGAGCTAAACTAATTATATATTATATAATTAGAA